CTATTATTAGTATAGATCAATTATAACTCACTGACTAAAGCTATTATTAGTATAGATCAATTATAACTCACCAACTAAAGCTATAATTACTATAGATCAATTATGACTCACTGACTAAAGCTATAATTAGTATAGATCAATTATAACTCACCAACTAAAGCTATAATTATTATAGATCAATTATAACTCACCAACTAAAACTATTATTAGTATAGATCAATTATAACTCACTGACTAAAGCTATTATTAGTATAGATCAATTATAACTCACTGACTAAAGCTATTATTAGTATAGATCAATTATAACTCACCAACTAAAGCTATAATTACTATAGATCAATTATGACTCACTGACTAAAGCTATAATTAGTATAGATCAATTATAACTCACCAACTAAAGCTATAATTATTATAGATCAATTATAACTCACCAACTAAAACTATTATTAGTATAGATCAATTATAACTCACTGACTAAAGCTATTATTAGTATAGATCAACTATAACTCACCAACTAAAGCTATAATTACTATAGATCAATTATAACTCACCAACTTAAGCTGTGATTACTATAGATCAATTATAACTCACCAACTTAAGTTATAATTACTATAGATAATTTATGTCCCACCAACTAAAGCTATAATTAGTATAGATCAATTATAACTCACCAACTAAAGCTACAATTAGTATCGATCATTTATAACTCACTAACTAAAGCTATAATTACTATCGATCAATTATAACTCACCAACTAAAGCTATAATTACTATAGTTAATTTATGTCCCACCAACTAAAGCTATAATTAGTATAGATCAATTATAACTCACCAACTAAAGCTATAATTAGTAAAGATCAATTATAACTCACCAACTCAAGCTATAATTACTATAGATAATCTATGGTTTACCAACTAAAGCTATAATTACTATAGATCATTTATGACTCGATATTAAGATTTTAATGATAGATCAGTGGTATATGTTTTCTGTTGTTTCTTGGAGATAATTTGCCTATTTTTATGTAGACATTGGTTTGTGTAGATATTGATACGTATGTTTGTGTAAAATAATTGTTTTGTACAGATTAATGGTGCGAGTTCATGTAGATTAGTAGTTCGTGTTGTTTTCTGTTAAACATCTATTACGCTTAAATCACAACTGATTAACACAGTGTGTTTATTGTCATTTAAATAGGTAGACTGGTGATCGTGGATACCAACAACACCACGCCTCAGGACATTACAGCAGTAAACGCTGGGGGAGGGGATGTAGTGCTCACCATGGAAACCGTTCCTAACGCCACGCCCTCGCATCCGGCACAGTCCAGAACAACCGACTGGAACTGGATAGTCACGCAAGCCCCTAAAGCCACACCCTCGCCACCTACGCGGGGCAGAGCGACCGACTGGAACTGGATAGTAACTTCGACCCCTAAAGCCACACCCTCTCCACCTACACGGGGCAGAGCGACCGACTGGAACTGGATAGTTACTCCGACCCCTAGAGCCACGCCCTCGCCATCGACCAGAAAGTCCAACTGGAACTGGATAGTCACCCCTGCCCCCAACACCCCTGCCCCCATCACTCCCGCCCCCTACACTCAGGTACCAAACTATCGACGCGTGACAACAATTGGTCCCACTCCCTTCTACTATGGAAACACAAACACGATGGGTTATCTTGGAATCGGGAACACCGCCGGTTACTTTGGAACACCCCCACAATGGCAAACTGCCCATCAACAACACCCACAGCAAACCACTCCGTTCCCAGGAAATAAATATGGTGTATGTCCTTTGCCGTCAGTGGTCGGCGCCAAGTGTGGCTACCGGTGTAAACGAGACAGCGAGTGTGGTGCTGACTGGAAATGTTGTCACGACGGCTCGGGTCGGCCAGATGGCTGCTGCCATGCCCGTCAACAAACAGAGTTCGAAAGCTTCATGAATTCTATGTGGGACATGCCTCCATCACAGGAAATACAGAATGAAATGCCGTAAACATCTGCTCTTGTGGTCCGTTTTTCCTACACTGTCTGTTATAAACCGTGGTTGATATGTCCCATCTATCATCGGAGTATTGCGGCTGTGAAGATAGAGGACTAATACACTACCCAATAGTTGTATACATTTACCATCAGGGGGTTGATATGTCACATGCAGACGAGGCTAGTACCTGTCAACATACAGGGAACATCACGTTGCACCTGACTCATCAGGGGTAATAGTTGAAAACATGGACATTTTCTGTGCCTCACCAAAAATTTTAGTGATGTTCTTATATTTGTTGTACGGTATGGGTGAATTATTTAAATTACATAATTTAGACAGTTGGATAATGTAAATGAAGAATCCCTCTTTTAATTCATTCAGTTCTTAACTATAACATCTGATGAGAAAGAAGAGGAAGGGTGGTACATTTACGGTACTATATTGACTTGACGGTGAACAGCACCTACACAAACTCGCCATGACTTCACGTTCAACAGCACCTACACAAACTCGCCATGACTTCACGGTGAACAGCACCTACACAAACTCGCCATGACTTCACGATGAACAGCACCTACACAAACTCGCCATGACTTCACGGTGAGCAGCATCTACACAAACTCGCCATGACTTGACGGTGAACAGCACCTACACAAACTCACAATGACTTCACGGTGAACAGCACCTTCACAAACTCACAATGACTTTCCGGTAAGCAGCATCTACACAATCTCGCCATGACTTCACGGTGAGCAGCCCCTACACAAACTCGCCATGACTTCACTGTGAGCAGCACCTACACAAACTCGCCATGACTTCACTGTGAGCAGCACCTACACAAACTCGCCATGAATTCACGGTGAGCAGCCCCTACACAAACTCGCCATGAGTTCAGGGTGACCAGCACCTACACAAAATCGCCATGACTTCACAGTGAACAGCACCTACACAAACTCGCAATGACTTCACGGTGAACAGCACCTACACAAACTCGCCATGACTTCACGGTGAGCAGCACCTACACAAACTCGCCATGACGTCACGGTGAGTAGCACCTACACAAACTCGCCACTCAAACTGTCGCCATAAACCAATCACAGCACAGCGGTTACACGTGAATGTTCTCTAAATTCTTCTGATGTTTTCCGTCATGTTGTAAAAGAAATCAGAAAAGCATCATGCTGGGACGTTAAATTGTGACAGAATTTCCTTAATGCCGTTTTTACTCGACGTTTGTCACGTGACGGAAGTGGTAGTTACAGAAAATACGAACTCGCACAAAAACATGTCTGTTCTACTTTTTTATAACAAATTTTTGTTATTGAAATGAATTCATCCACAGATTTTAACTCATAACAGATCATTCTTGTAAAATGTTCTAACAAAAACCGTATTTTGTGTATTATTGATGGAAATCGCGAAAAAATGCACACATTATCACAAGTTTAATATCTAAAAAGAAAATGAAGCATGTTTTTATTTTGGTCATGTAATAATGTGAAAACTCACCCGAACACGTGTAGATTGAATGAAAGGCAAAGCCATTTAGGAAAACCTTATACCTGGATCAGTGCGTCGGTCTCGTTGGGCACCTCCTGTAATGCAGCTTCACACAGAATGGCCGGATGAATAACAGATTCTGTCTACTGACGTATGGTGAAACAAAGGGTTAGTAACAGGTATTTAACGCATGTGAAGTACATGTATGACCATCGGATGTTTTTGTTTTGTAACAAAGACACAAACAAATTAGTATAAAGATATTCACACATATCAAATCCAGTGGTGATATAACATTTGTGTGGTTTTCGAGTGGTGTTTTCGGTATATAAAGGAGGAAGTGTTTAGATGAACTGCTAGATATTAAACACTAACAGTTAACATGTTTACCGTAGCCTATGATATGGGAGATACAGGAACAGTAAATAGACAGTAAAACTAGCCGGTACAGTGAGAGATACAGGAACAGTAAATAGACAGTAAAACTAGCCGGTACAGTGAGAGACAATCAAGGTGCTGTTCTGTACATTTCTCCAGTGGGAGACCAAAAACAAACACTGTTAATATATTGTATATACATGGATATGGACATGGAGGTTTTCCCTGTGTGTATTTAAATATTTGTGTTCAATAAAATGTTTTCCAAAAAAGTCAGTCCACACCTTTCTTTTTCTTTACGGGTATGGAAATCAGACTTTCCCAATTAACAAGTCTCCGACAGACACGAGACGGACAGATTTTCCTTTGGTATGTATGACGAATGCGACTAAGAAATTACACTGAGCTAGAAGATAATGTTGAATTGCACTATGAATCCTTATATGATCATTGATATAACGTTTTTGGCAAACGGTATTTGCAAATACAACAATACTACTACAAGCATTACAGTGAACCAAACATTACACCATTAGACTACTTGGTTATCCCAGTGGACCAAGCATTACACCACTAGACTACTTGGTTATCCCAGTGGACCAAGCATTACACCACTAGACTACTTGGTTATCCCAGTGGACCAAGCATTACACCATTAGACTACTTGGTTATCCCAGTGGACCAAGCATTACACCATTAGACTACATGGTTATCCCAGTGGATCAAGCATTACACCATTAGACTACATGGTGGACCAAGCATTACACCATTAGACTACATGGTTATCCCAGTGA